GATGTTCACGTTTGGTTTAATGAAAATTTTTGCTGATATTTAAAATCTCTGAAATGTACTAAAAAATAATCACAAAATAAGGTTAAAATTCGGGATTGAGATTTTTTTTGGCATGAAGCTATTTCAAATTTTGGTCTTTATGTGTGTATATTTGTTTCCTTTGGTACTTCTCATTTTCTGTGGAGTGCTTTCTGTTCATTGAGGAGTTTAGTAGAAGGCTTCTATCATTGTAATGCAGATCTGCACTATAAAGACCTTGGATTTGGCTGAGTATGCGTTTGTTCTTTTAAGTGTATTTGTGTGCAGTTTTAACCCTTTAGCTACATAATAAAGTTCTTTAGGACTAAAGTTTTTGCGTTTGTTGGTTTGTTTTTCTCAAAAATATAACTGTCTATGCTATTGTTAGGTTATTGTGCTAATAGATTACCATGTTGACCAACCTCTTATTTACATGACACCATAGAGGACTGTCTACAGCCTTGGTTCTCAACTGGTGGGTCGTGACCCAAAAGTGGGTCGCGACCCCATTTTCAGTGGAATTGTAGAAATGTCACCAGCACACCAGTCCTTTTAAGATAGCAAAAGCTTCATTTATTGAAGTTTTTTGTCATATGACCAAACAAGCGCTTTCGGGACCGCACAGGGTCCCTTCATCAGGCTTAAGCATTGACATGTCATGGTCATATGACAAAAAACTTCAATAAATGAAGCTTTTGCTATCTTAAAAGGACTGGTGTGCTGGTGACATTTCTACAATTTTGCTGACATTCGCAGCGCCATCTGCGGTCACTGCGAGCACCCCCCACTACAAGGGACATATTGGTAAGGAGTGCAACAAGGAGAGTACTCACTCCCCATTTTCAGTGGGTCACCGCATGCCTTCCACTTTTCTAGGTGAGATGCTCTTCAGCCTCCCCCTAGCGCAGCACTCTCCATTCTCTCGCCAAGCAGCTATTCAAAATAGGCTGCCCAGGGTCGAGCGTCAGCTTGAGGTGGGATGGGGCTATGGTCGTGAGAGAGCTCCATCCATCCATACATGCATTACTTACATTTTTTGGAGTGTGTGGGAGAATGTGTCTGTGGTTGTGACTGCATGTCAGTGTTTTTGAGGACCCATTTACACTAGTACAGTGCATTAATCATATAGTACCGTGCGATTAACGGGGCACAATTGCATCTACCATGCATTGTGATGCGGCAGGTGTGTTGCGTTGCTATTCATTTGAATGGTACCACAAACGCACACTCCCACCCACAGTCTGTACGCCTGCACCAGAACGCGTGGTACCCTAATGCCGTGCGTTCCATTGCAGTGTAACTTGGGTCGCAACTCAATGACCAAAGACAAATGTGGGTCCTGAGGTTACCTACAGGTTGAGAACCACTGGTCTACAGTATCTATGGAACATGTCAAAGTCCATTTTATATACTTCTTAATATATTGAATATTACAAGGGTTATATAATTGGGACTAAATCAACTGAAATGCACATTTCATTGTTTAAAATCTTTTTTTTAAATGTATTTTAGATGTTTTAGGATGTTTTAAGACTTAACAGTCTGCTGGCTTTTACAGTCACATTGCCAACTTACCCATGCAGGGCAGCGTTACAGTGTCTCTGCAAAGACCCCTTACCTCACCTTGCCCGCTCTCCCTTGCTGCACCTTTTGCCATCGCAGCCAGCAACTTCTGGATATGGAAGAGCATGTGTCCTGCTCCACTATGACAGTGTGTGGACCTAGTACTGTCACATGATCATGGAAGTGATGTCACTGCTCCTCCAGGTTGCTGACTCCACTGATTTTAGTGCCAGCGGTGAGTGAGGAAGAAGCAGCAAAGGAGCTTTGGCAAAGCGAATATAAGGGAGTCTGGGCAATTACCCTGTGCAGAGAAACTTTTACTATACCCTGAATGGGTAAGGTGCCCCTTTAAAAACATTACAAGCAACTTAAAGTATATGCAAAGCCAACTGTTTGGGGTTTTTATTTTTTATTTTGGATAGTGTAGGGAATGGCTAAAAACCTTGTCCTTTTTTTGTCCATCTGTGTCCCATTGGGGAGATGCAGTGTCTTATTTATGGTAAATAGTCTTATGTATTTGCATAGAGTAATGCAAGTGATATTCCTTGTGAAATTAACTGTTGGGAAGAAATTAGGGCTGCAGCTAACGATTATTTTCATAATCGATTAGTTGGCCGATTATTAAGTTCGATTAATCGGTTAATCGGATAAAAAAGAAAAAAAAAAGGCTCCAGTGATGGACTACTAGTTTGTATTGAGATTGTAGTCCATCACCGGAGCAAGCGTGGCGCGGTGGAAGTAAAAAAAAAGTGTGGTGTGCAATATAGTACATTATACAGCGGCGCAGTGCAGAATACCAGCAGCTATAGAGGAATGTAGCAATAGTACATTATACTATAATGTACTATTGCTGGGATTTGTAGTCCTCTGTAGCTGGCATTATTCTCCATTGCGCTGTAAATGTGTTTTTACTTGTGAAGTATAAGAGCGATTTCTCCAGGAATCATTCATTTTTCTATTAGTCTCCTCAAAGTGTGAACATATGCCAACATAATGTGTTACCTGACGATTAATGCCGTTTCTGGCAGCATGGCCTGCAGCAGCCTGCTTCTGTCTTTACATCCCGCTAAGCCATGGACAAGTTAATCCTGGGGACGGCTGCCGGAGAGTAGGTCTTGTCTGGTGGTGGTCGAGTGCTGCCTGCTCACAGCAGAGCAGGGTTATTAGGAATGTGATAGTGGGGGTAACTTTCATTAATAATTTAAAAGCCTTAGGGTTGGTTCACACCAGATGCAGTTGTGATGCATTCCGTTCAGTTTGGCAGCGACGTCCAAAATGCATCACAATGCTTTCTTATGGGATTTCTGGTGCTCTGTTCAAACCAGTGCAGTCCGTTCCGATGCAGTCAGAAAAAATACTGCTTGCCCTATTTTAGCTGCATCGGAACGCAATAAAAACGCATGCAAACGCACTGGAACGCATCCGAAATCCCATTATAAGCAAACCCCAGCCCCCCCAAAAAACGCGTCAATCGCGGTAAAATTGTGACAACCCGCATTTCATTGCAGCTGCACAGAAGCACACAGTTCTGGTGTGAAGTAGCCCTTGTTAATGATTTATATGGAGTTTATTTTATTTGTTCTGGATGCCATTCCATCTTGTTACCGCTGACATATATATATATATAT